TTAATTTTCTTAAACATCGATAGTTTAGCATAAGAAAAAAGAAAGAGGAATGAATATAAAATCAAAAAAGTTAAAAGACCTTGTAATCTTATATTGGAATGAGACTATCAGTGAGAACATAGGATTTTCCCTTTCTTCTTAAAAAACAGACACTGTATTCTAGCTCTGTCCAAGAAAAAGGCTTAGCAGCAATGACAAGCCAATAGCAGTGAATACCCCTAATGGCAAGATCTCTAATGACAATTACTCACTAAAAGGAATCTTGGGAGAAATGGCTGACTTGAGAGCTGGGCAGGAAATATACACAAGGAGCTTGTGACATTATATTGTCCCAGAAAGTAAGGACGCTATCAAAGGCTGAGAGTAGAGTCCTGCCAAAAAGACAAGTTTGAAGAATCTCCCACTGGCCAAAATAGGGTAATTTGAACATCAAAAAGAATAACAAACGCAAGTTTGAATCAGAAGTATTGAATTCAGAAAAAGCAATGAATTTAAATCAAAGAGAAAAAAGAGTGTTCAGAGGGAAGAGAGGGGGAGGGAGAAAGAGAGGGTTAGAAGAGGGAATGGAGGGAGAGAAAGAGAGAAAAGAAAATTCACTGGATGCTGATGGAGCGTCCACAGCACCAACTCATCACTCATGTCTCAAGATTGATGATTAAAGGCAAAGGATACTCTGACTTCTCCTCAGATTGGATAATCAAAGAAGTAAGCCTGTATCTTGTCTCTCTTCTCTGAATTATATTTCAGTGTACACTGTACTAATTGATGAGAAAAATTATAAAACCATTCCAGCTGATGAATGCAGAAGAAATGATGGAAAAATTCCCATTTTCAAAACTTCTCATGAATCATTTAAAGGTCATCAATCTATCATAAAATCATCAGGTGAAAGGTTGTTAGTAAATTTACAATGAAGGAATGTGGCCAATCAATCTTTATATCAGAAAAACTAAAACAACCAAACACATTACATGTCTTTTAATGAAGTTTACATGAAAAGGAACTGCACAGCCCTGCCTATGAAGTGTTCTTGGAAAAAAAATAATGAACCTGTATCTATTGAAGTCTTTAGAACTAACCTGCTGGCCACCAGAAATGAAAATTAAAAACAGACAATAGGGCCAGGCATAGTGGTTCAAGCCCATAATCCTAGTACTCTGGGAGGCCAGGGTAGGAGGATTTCTTGAGGCCAGGAGTTCAAGACCAGCCTGAGCAAGAGTGAGGCCTCTACAAAAAATAAAATAAAATAAAATAAAATAAAAATAGAAAACAACAGCAAACAATGCAAGGAAGCATTAGCCATATCCATAATGTTGGGAATTGAGCCGGTTTTCTCAATAGGGCAATAGAATTGAAGGAAGGAAAGAAAAGAGGAGAAATCTGTTTTAAATTAAGAGATTTTTAAAAAGAATTAAGAGACAGAACAACCCAATAAAATGTGTGAACATTGTTTGGAAGCTGATGTCATTAAATCCCCAATTCATGGTGGTGGTGGTGGTTTTTAAGTCTTAGGTAATTGGAGAGATTTGAATATGGACTTAGCACAAGGTAACATTAAGGAATTATTGTTAATGTTATTAGATTTTTTAAAATGGCATTTGTTTATGTATAAAAATGTCCCTTATTTTATGATTTTTAAAAGGTGAACACTAAATTATTTAAGGGTAGGATAAAATGATTTCTGGAATTTGCTTTAAAATGTTTCAACAAAAAAATTTTTTTAAAGTACAGGAAAGATAAACAGTAGGGCAAAATATCAATAATTATTGAAATTGGCACTTATAATTTAATATTTTCAGGACGAATTCAAAAAGAAAAAATGGTGACAAAACTGCTGCAGATGATATCTTTGTGTGGGGAAGAAAAACAATTGCAAGCTTTGCTTTGTGGTCATGCAGTTTGCCTTTGCTTGGGACCTGTCTTTTGGGATCATAGTTTGTCCTTGAATTTTTTTTTTTTTAAATAAAGACCAAACTCAATATCTGATTTAAACAAACAATGCTGAACTTCTTAGCCACTCTTGGTTTCACCACATAAAGGATACTTTATTGTTTGAGGTTACACTTAGCTGTCTTTAAATAACTAAATTTATCTCTCTATATAAATGTTTTGGCTATAAATTTTGTTTTGCTTGCGCTACATTAAAATTACAGGGCACTTGTACAGGTATTTGCACAGTATCAACATAGACGTCAGAAGGTAAGAAGCAATTATGCAATAGTGGAAAAAAGAGGAGAATTGAATTTCAAACAATCTGAAGTTGACGTTTATACTTTCCAGCTAAGAGACTGGTCAAATCAACCTCTGTGAACATTGTGCTTCCACTGGGCAAAACAGGAATGGTAACAGGGCTATTGTGAACATTGCATGAGCTAAGTGAGGTGCTTTTTCAAACTTAATGCATGATACCAAGATGAAATATTATTAGCATGAAGAATGAATGCTGGTAATATTTCATAGGACTATTTTCATTTTACAAAAGTGAAAAATTATCTACTATAATTTTAAAAAATAAATTGGATAGTTAACTACAATGAAAATTTCCATTAAAAAGACACCAGAATAAAGAAATTATGTCATATTGCAGAAAATACTTTAGTTTTACTGTTTTTACCTTATCTCTAAACTGTATAAGTTTGTTTCAATTTCAGCATCTGATACAGTTTCACCTCTTCAAAAAATTATAGGTAAATTGGGCACTATAATTAGGAGCAACAGCCAACATGAACTGTGACTTAGGTTGTTTCGAGTAATTTATAATTCAATTTGCATCAATATTCAGTGCTCCTATCCCCTTGAACTCAGCTTTTCTGGAAATTGTTTAAGGCACATAAACACCTTGCAATGATGAAAAGTTGTTTTTACAACACAATTGATAGTCGGAAAGAGAGAACTGAAGAGAACATAACTTTTCCCCTCTATCCTCTCATTAGAAAAGAGGCCACGTAAAAGAACATGAATATCTCTTTAAAGTAATTAATGGCTTAAGGGTAAAAAGTACTTTGAAAAGAAAAACAAAAACTTCCCCTAACAAACAGCAATGAGAAACACATTTCATCTGGCTTTACATATTTCCATCAGTAGAAGAATTAGATCAGCTCAATAAAATTACAATTCCACACTGGGTTTTTGCTTTGTGCCTGCTAAACCTTGTTTTACTACTTTGATGTTAGGCCTTATTTAGATAAACTATTTTTCTGTATCTTCAGGTGAAATGATAGAGAAGACAGATTATATTCCAGTGGCTACTGCTGGCACTTTCAATACCTTTATCAACTGGCTCTTCCATAACTTCTCACCCTCACTTTTCACTATTTTTAATTGTCTTTCTATCTAGATTAGTCTTTTTCCATTAAAAAATGCACTATTTATTGATCAATTTTTGAAACAGTTAAACTTTTACATATTTCAACATTTAAAAGGTAAAAATAAAAAATGGTATAGAGTAAAAATTCTCCTGCCCGCCCTGTCCCTCCGTTACTCAGCAATGTGTTTTTTCCATAATTTCCCTGATCACCTGCTTGGGTTTATGTTGCTTCCTGTATCTGAAATGTCCTTCAGACAGCTTTCCATTTTTGCCCTTCGCTTCTTCAAAGTACAACTCAATACTCTCTGTTAGTGAGCTTTCCCTGAGCCACCAACTCCAAAATCGATCTATTTCTCTTACTCTGCATCATTGAATATGGTTTGTGCCCTGCTTTTCTTAATATACTTTAAATTGCTAATGTTCCTAAATTATTTTCACATTTCCTGGACAGAGTTTAGATTTCCAAATAGTTTACAGATTTCCAGGTCCCTTGAAAGTAAGGGATGACTTTCTTTTGTTTTCCACACAGCAGTCTGGATCTACCCAAATAGTTGGTGCCTAATGCCTTCCCTACCCTCAAAAAGCCTTACCTGGTGATTCTCAAAATTTGGTACATATTAGAATCACCAGGGGAGCTTTCCAAACTCATGAATGCCTGGCTTGACCCCATCCCAATTAAATCAGAATCCCTGGGGGTGAGATCTAAGCATAAGTACTATTTAAAACCTGCTAGATGACTCCAACGTGTGGCTAAGTTTAAGGATCAGTGACCTAACCCGCCCCCCAGCCCCGCATCCCAGCGATGATCTCATTTCGTCACATGCTCGTCCTGCCAATGTCACATGTTCACCCTCCCTGCGTCTGCCCCCATCTTCTCCTGCTTTGCGGCTAAGAAGGAAGAGTCCCTCTTCCTCCCATGGGCCTCCTTCCTGCTGCCACGTTCTCCTTGCTCCCTTTCGCAGAACACCTTCTCGTGAGGTTTTTCTGTGCAGGTGGTTGTCATTTTTTCACCTCCAAGTCTTTCTTCGGCCCGCTTATGTCTAGCTGTCATTTCCATCGGGCCTCCAAAATGGTTCTTGTCAATGTTGCTTGTCACGTTGCCAAAACCAAGCGTCCATTTGCTGCCTTCTTGCCTCTTAGTAGCAAGACCACGCTTTCCTCCAAACACTGACCTTCCCTGGCTTCCCGGATGCCATGTGGGTCCCTCTCCTCTCCTTCTGTAGACTGCTCTCCTGTTATTGCCACCACCGCCCAACTTCGGGATGGCAGTTCCCGGGGTGTGGTGCTAAACACTCATCTTTCTCTGCATATTTCCATGTACGACTCGTACATAGAGACGATTTCAGATAGTAGAAAGTTGAAAATTTTTTTCCTTAATAGGTAAGTACAGATGTCCCTCATTATCTGAGAGGGATTGGTTCCAGGAACTTTCTCAGATATCAAAATTAGCAGGTGCCCAAGTCCCTGATATCAAATGCTATAATATTTGCATATAACCTATTATACATCCTCCTATGCACTTTAAGTCATCGCTAGATTACTTATAATTCCTAATGCAATGTAAATACTATGTAAACAGTTGTTATACTGTATTTTTTTTCCTTTTTTATTTTAGCGTATTATGGGGGTACAAGTGTTAAGGTTACATATATTGCCCATACCCTCCCCCCACCCCCCGTTATACTGTATTGACATGAAAATATCTGTATGTATTCAGTACAGATGAAATTTTTTTCAAAATATTTTCTATCCACAGTTGGTTGAATCCACAGATGAGGAACCCACCATATGCAGGGCCCACTCTATTTAGTTTACCTTCATAAGTAAGTATTAGAAAAGACCAGAACCTGCAAATCAAACTCATGTTAAGTTTATGTTAGGGTCACATTAAGGTTATGTGAAGGTCATGTGATGGAGAATGGGGGTTTAAATCTTATGGCAAACTTCATAAAACCTCCTGGACACATGTCTTTTCTTTCCCTCAATTTCTTCTCCAGGTGGCAGCTACTTTCACTCTTTCCAAAATCCCCCATCTGTGGCCAACTGCCACCTGTCCCTTTGTCGGTAGCCTTTCCAGCACACTCTCCAGTCTCCGTTCCATTCCTCCCCTCTCCGGCCGTCTCTAGGAGAAACACATCTTGCTGATGAACTTCCACACATCCTGTTTGGAAATTGCACGTATTATTGAGAAGTTAGGTTTCACTTAACGGGAAGTCTTCAAAATAGGGAACAAACACCTTGTAAGGAAGCCATCAGAAATTTTCTGGATATAGAAGAGAGAACTCTGGAGAAGAAAGAGATGTCTCAATAAAATAATATCAAAATGAATTTCAGTAATAAAGTCTGTCTCATATGTTTTTTTTTCTAAGAATCTAGAATAACTCAAATTTAATAATGTTGCTATACTTCAGGAACTGGGGCGGTCAAGATCAAAGCTGTTATCTTTACTACCAATTCATTTTTTTTAGCATTGTCAATATATCATATCTCTAATTATTAGATTTGCATCTCTAAGATTCTTATATAATGGTCCTAATATAATAAAACTACTATTTTCTAATAGTTCTGTTAGAATCTTTTTAAGTTTGATATAACAGAATAAGATTTAACATCATAAAATATATGCAACACTTCTACTAGTACTTAATAATTCTAATAGTATCTATAGGTTATATTTATTAAATTATAATAAAACTATAAGAAATATACTGTTTCTATAGGACAGAAAATAAAAAAAAACAGTTGTCAATACCGTAATGAGTAAGCAATTTCTATTATTATCCTGCTACTGCATTTTGGCTTTATTTGTTTTTGCAATCTTATGAGGTTTAGTATGGGGAACAATCATTCATCTTTTTTCAGAGTCACAGACTGTATCACTTGATAAACTGTAAATGAGCCAGGGAAGTAAGATAGGAATTCTCAGTTTCTTTGGCATAAAACAATACTAACTGTATACATTTACATAATGACTTTTAACCAATCAGTCCTCGAATTTCTGGAGGTGACATACTATAATGTATTCCTGAATATTTACGTGTTAAAAGTTAACAAATTATTGAATAAAATATATTTTATCCCCCTACATTGACAAAATTATAAGGACAAAACATATTTTAAAAATTAAAAGAGCCATGTTACTTTTATATAGCTGCAAGTTAGAAAAAGTAAAAGATGATTAATTTGAATTGTGGTTGGCATATCTGGTCTTCTATTGATGGAGTGATATATTAATAGACTTTAGGTAGTATAAAATAAAGGTATACATAATTAATAAATTATTATATATTCTGTAATAATTATTTTTCTTCCTTTTGAAAAATCACTAATTATGTTAGGATCAACATTTTCATTTAATTTGTGTTGACAGTATGCTCAAAAAGATGACACAGCCACAGTGGTGGCTCACGCCTGTAATCCTAGCACTTTGGGAGGCTGAGGCGGGCGGATTGCTCAAGGTCAGGAGTTCAAAACCAGCCTGAGCGAGACCCCGTCTCTACCAAAAATAGAAATAAATTATATCAAATAAATATATCAAAAAAAATTAGCCGGCATGGTGGCACATGCCTGTAGTCCCAGCTACTCGGGAGGTTGAGGCGTAGGATCGCTGACCCCGGAGATTGAGGTTGCTGTGAGCCAGGGCTGACGCACGGCACGTCACTCTACCTGGGCAACAAAGTGAGACTCTGTCTCAAAAAAAAAAAAAAAAAAAAGATGACACAATTTGATTCATTAAAACTTTTTGATAGTTTTAAAAATTAATTTTAAGTGGGAAAAATTTCACTCTGCTGAGGTAATAACATCTGGAAATTTTAATGAAATTCTTAAAGCAATACTCTAATTTGGTAATGAATCATGGATTTTACATATCATATTCAAGCTTATATGCTCTTGCTATGATAGCAAGCCAAACAAACATATGAAAGATGCTCAACATCTCTATCATCGGCATGCAAATCAAAACACAATGGATATCACTTACATCCAGTGAGAATGGCCTTTATCAAAACAGTCCCCAAAATAAATGCTGGAGATGGATGCGGAGGGAGAGAGAGCACACTCCTACACTGCTGGTGGGACTGCAACTAGGTTCACACTCTGTGGAAAGCAATATGGAGGATCCTTAAAGCGTACACAGATAGATCTACCATTTGATCCAGCAATTCTGTTGCCCAATTCATCTGGGCAGTGACACCTCGCCTCTGAATGTTTTATGGCGGCTAGTTCACCAATTGCAAAGGTTGTAGAAAAACCAAGTTGGCCATCTCATGAGTGGATTATAAATGGTGTAGTATATACATGAGTCTATTCAGCTTTAGAAACATGGATAGCAGCCTCTTGTTTTGTTCCATGGGATAGAGCTGAACCATTCTACTAAGTGAAGTATCTCAAGAATGGAAAAACAAGCACCACATGTACTCACCAGCAAATTGGTATTAACAGATCAACACCTAAGTGGACATATAGGAAAAACATTTATCGGGTGAAGGGTGGGTGGAAGGGGGGAGGAGGGGATGGGTATATACAAACACAATGAGTGAGATGTGCAACATTTGGGGGATGGACACGCTTGAAGCTCTGACTCTAAGGGGGATGGGGGGCATGGGCAATATACGTAACCTTAACATTTGTATCCCCTTAATATGCTGAAATTAAAAAAATAATAAATCATACAAAAAGAAAAAAATAATGCATTTGCATATGATAAATTATTGTTACTCCATAAGATTTTACAATATGTTTAAAATTTCTCTGCTACCCCTTATATTGCAATTTATACCGTCTCTTAAAGTAACATCTAAATCTGTAAAGAACTTGACTGTATAGCACACTCAACTGATGCTATATCTAGATTTATATTTAAAATACTCAATTACATAATATTGAAAATAGTTCTTCAGCCACTATGTACTGTGGTGATTGCCATGATATGAGTATTTCCAAAACAATAAATGGAACACATACAAAAGCAAAGAAATGGACTCCAGGCACTACAGGGAAACAATATTTTGTTATTCAAGAAACGATTGCATTTCCTTGGTTTCAGAATTGCCTTGTAGACAGGTGATGCTGTCAACAAGTAGCACTATTTCTAAACAAAGAAGTGTATTTTTAGGGCACAAGAAACAAAGCTATTTTGTTAGACTATGACGACAGAAGGGAAAGGTAGATGCTGTAAAATATCAGAGATATTTTAAATAATAAGTTGAAAGTACATATCTGCCTACCAATGAGGTTTAAAGTTGCCATAAATGATTCCTGTTAATTTGTAATTATATGACAATTTTTGGAACAACTTTACTCAAAATAATATTAAATATACATATTAATCTAATAATGCTAAATTTTCATGACTCAAAAATATATACAACAGCAATTTTCAGTAAAGTGAAATTCATAAATCATTAAAAGAGCAAAATTTTGATTCTGTGAAGAGTGGTTTGTGGAATATTAAGAATTAATATCCAGGGAGTAAGGTTTATTGATAACTATATAGCAAAATCTGAATATAAGCAAGATATGGATGATTTTAAATGAACAACATATATGTACATACAAGATATGGCAACATATTTTATTACTAACTTGTGAGACCTATTTTATTGCTTTATTGATATTGACTCATACACTTACGTTTGAATTTTTTTTAATTGGAAGTTGGGATGAAGGACTTGATTGAGTTTTAAGGATCCCTATTATCTTATTTAACATACTTATACCTAAACTTGGTGGAACTAAATAGACTTTTGGGTTTTGTTTTGTTTTGTTTGCTTTGTTTTTTCAGACAGGGTCTTGCTATGTGGCCCAGGCTGGTCTTGAACTCCTGGGATCAAGCCATCCTTCCCTTTCAGCCTCCCCAGTAGCTGGGACTACAGGTGTGTGCCAAGGTGGCAGGCCTTCTGGGTTTTTGATAACCAAAGAGCCATTAATTTATAGAGCAAAAATAGAATCTGTTCCTGCACAACCAACCATATTCAGTGACTTAATGAATATTTGCGTACATGTTACACGCGGGGCACTGCTGTACACACTGGTTTACAACAGTGAACAAGAACAGAGTCCTGCCTTCAAGGAACTTGCATTCTAGCACTGGAATCAAGTGGGGGTGAGGGTGTAGAGAACGAATATGTAAGTAAATTATCTAGAAGGTATGACAATAAATACTATGAGGAAAATGAATTAGGATAGAGGAATGGGGAGTGCGGGGTGGAGGTTGCAGTTTTTTTTTTTTTTTTAATTTTTTTTGAGACAGGGTCTAGCTCTGTCACCCTGGGCTAGAGTGTGATGATATCATCAGGGCTCACTGCAACCTCAAACTACTGGGCTCAAGCAATGATCCTGCCTCGGTCTCCCAAATAGCTAGGACTACAAGCATGCGCCACCATGCCCGGCTAATTTTTTCTATATATATAAGTTGGCCAATTTTTTTTTTTTTTTTTTTGGTAAAGACAGGGTCTCACTCTTGCCCAGGATGGCTTCCAACTCCTGGCCTCAAGAGATCCTGCTGCCTTGGCCTCTCAAAGCACTAGGATTATAGGCAGAAGCCACTTTGTCCCACCCAGGTTCCAGTTTTAAAGGGTTGTCAGAGAAGACCTTACTGAGAAAGGGTCATCTGAGTCATAAAAGACATATCATTTCTTTAGAAACATGTTTTTTAAACACATTTTGAAACAATCTCAAACAGAAAATTACAAGTAAAATACAAAGAACTTTTTCCCTAAACCATCGGACAGTAGGTGGCTGACCTCGTGCCCATCATCCCCAAATACTCTGCAATATATTCTTCACAATCAAGGACATTCTTCCTACATGGACCACAGCATAACCATCAAAATCAGGAAATTATCATTCCTACATTACAACCATCAAATCCACAAGTCCCCATTCAAGTTTCTCCATTTGTCCCCAAAATGTCCTTTTATGCAAAAGGACCCAATTCAGAATTATGTATTGCATTTAATTTTCATGTCTTTTTTCATGTCCTTGGTCTGGAACTATTCCTCAGCCTTTCTTTGAATTTTATGACCTTGACTCTTTAAGATTGTAGGCCATTTATTTTGTAAAATGTCTCCCAGTTTGTATTAACAATTGTCCGTTTCCTCATAATTACATTCAGATTTTATATATTTGGTGGGAATGTCACAGAATTGCTTTACATTCTATCAGGTGGCTCATAATCTCACTGGGAATGTCATAATTCCCATTGCTGTTGCTATTAAATTGGATCACTTGATTAAGCTGTAGTCTGCCAGGTTTCTCCACCGTGCAGTTCTTCTTTTTATAATTAAGTGCTTTGTGTTGAAACTTTGTTCCTCAACCCATTTTTCATCAACCTTTGGATGAATGCATTTATTTATGTCTATAAATTGAACCCCCGATGTCCTATTTTATTCAATCATTGCAATGTTTTATTGCCATTACGTACTGACAAGCTCAAGGGTCCCAGGTTCGGCCAGTGGGGCCCTTGCAGGCCGACTCCCACTTGCTTTGAACATGTCCTGTCCCTGTCATTCCGAGCCCTTCCTCACTGTGGGGCACAAGACCTCCAGGGTCTAGTACTTTGTTAATCCCACCCCTGAAAATGGGCACTGCTTCAAGGAGGACTGTGTTCCTTCTAGTGGAAGCTGATTCGTAGACGGCGATCTGGGTGCTTGTGCTCATTGCTGTCGCGGGGACAGGGGCGGCTCTGCCCCAGGGTCGGAGCAGCGTCAGGGGTGGGGGCACAGGCGTGTGGACACGCACGCACACGCACGCGTGTGTAGCGCACACACACACACACACACACATTGCAACTGCATTCGCCTCTGCTCCTGGAAACACTGAAATCCAAGGGTTGGCCAGTAGGGGCCCCCAAGTCCCCACGTCCGCCCTCCCTGCGGGGCCTCCCTCCCGCCAGGCCCTGTCCTGCGGCCCCTCCTCACACTGCCACCGTAACGACGCCGTCCCCACCCGGTGTGACCGTTCTCCGGCGGGGCCTCCCTCCTGCCAGGCCCTGTCCTGCGGCCCCTCCTCACACTGCCACCGTAACGATGCCGTCCCCACCCGGTGTGACCGTTCTCCGGCGGGGCCTCCCTCCTGCCAGGCCCTGTCCTGCGGCCCCTCCTCACACTGCCACCCTAACGACACTGTCCCCACCCGGTGTGACCGTTCTCCAGCGGGGCCTCCCTCCCGCCAGGCCCTGTCCTGCGGCCCCCCTCACACTGCCACCCTAACGACACCGTCCCCACCCGGTGTGACCGTTCTCCAGCGGGGCCTCCCTCCCGCCAGGCCCTGTCCTGCGGCCCCTCCTCACACTGCCACCCTAACGACACCGTCCCCACCCGGTGTGACCGTTCTCCAGCGGGGCCTCCCTCCTGCCAGGCCCTGTCCTGCGGCCCCCCCTCACACTGCCACCCTAACGACACCGTCCCCACCCGGTGTGACCGTTCTCCGGCGGGGCCTCCCTCCTGCCAGGCCCTGTCCTGCGGCCCCTCCTCACACTGCCACCGTAACGACACCGTCCCCACCCGGTGTGACCGTTCTCCGGCGGGGCTCTCCAAGGGACAGGCAGGCCAGTCGCCGTGCTGGCCCCGCCTCGCTCCGCGCCACCCGAGGGCTTTGTTCAGACGGAGGAAGGAGGCCGGAGGGACAGGGCAGGGGAGTGAAGAGGGGGAAGAGAGAGTTGAGGGATTGTAGCTTAATAAACAAACAACGTGCACGTGCCCCACAGGTCTGTGCCATCTGGAATTCGCTGTCCATCTGAACCAGACGCTCGCTTTTGTTTTAAAGGCACTGAGGAAAATAGTTTGCCGTGAACCTCAATCTCCGCCCCTGAAAGGAGAGGACTGGACTCACCCTCATGCCACAAGGGCTAACATTTGGCTCTCAAATCAATCTTAGAGATTTAGGCATTGCAAAGTGATGTTTACTGACAAGGAAAGGACGTGATAGCAAATGTGTAGGATCCAACACAAACAGACTGCACCAACAAATATTTATGGAGTTTCTACTAAGATGCAGAAGAGTCACTATTGATAGAGATTTTCATATTTCAAGGATCTCTTAGGATTGATTTCCTTATATGATAACACAAGAATTAATGTTTATAATCCTGAATGAGACATCTATAAAAGGCAAAGTGAGGTTCCATTTACTTCATTTATAAAGGCAGAAAAATATAAAATACACACATTAGGACGGATTTCAAAACAGTGGCTGACAATTATTTAGTGCTTAAATTTTAGTTTAATTACATGTGGAAAAACTCCATTTCATTTACTTAGTGTCACTGGAAATAAAATGCTATTATTGCTTGTATTAAAGCCAAACCAAGCTCAAAGTTGGACAGTCATTGCCTCTAACTAGCTGCTAGACCTGGGAGTAATCTTTTTCTTTCTTAGGACCTTCAGTTTCCTCACCTATAAAATGAGGGAGTTGGTCTAAATTAACAAAGATAATTGTTAACTCTACAACTTTAAGGCTAACTCTGAAACTCTTAGGGCAGAATAACATATGAGCCTTTTATCTCCTAAGAAAAGATAAAATATCTCTTGTTTTGAATATGTATACATCAGTAAAGGATAAAGTATTTTGTACTGAGAATTGCCCAAAGAGAGCAAAAGGAACAGATTAGAAATGAAATCTAATCATAGGACAACCACACAAGTCTAAGAATAAGGTGTGGTTTTTCTCTTACCGGGTAGGACATTTGAATAATGCAGCATAGAGTCCATAAGTAACCGATTTACCATTTGAGACTTGCATTAGCTGTTGGGGATTAGCTGTTGGAATTTCCCAGAAGGTAATTTCCCGCTACTGCTTGTTTGTCCCCATGCCTGGGCTGTGAGAAGGCCCCCTAGACTATGAATCAGAACAGTAATCAGCGTTTAATTTGTGCAGCACCTCCGCTATACGTACCATACGTACCTCTCACCTCAATTTCCCTGTTCTTACTTAAATTCTATTTATTCAGCTCGGATGCCCAAGGCTTTAACTTTAAGGTCTTTGGGTTTATTTTTTTCCTTGACTTCCTCACTTGGGATGTCGAACTGAAGAGTATTGAGATTGATTTAGATGTAAAGAGAAATTAGAAAAGAAAGACTACATTTTTAATTTTTTGAGGAACTTCCATGTTAAAACATTGGCGTAGTGGCTATGCCACTTTGCACTCCCATCATGCACGAGGGGTCCAGTTGCCCCTCTCCATCATTTCTTGTCTTTTTTAAAATTAATAGCCATTCTGACAGCTGTGAGCTGACATCTCACTGTGGTTTTGATTTGCTTTTCCCTAATAACGAGCAGCGTTGAGCATTTTTTATATACTTGTTGGCCATTTTTATGTCTTCTTTGGATAAAGGTGTGTTCAAGACCTTTGCCTACTTTTTAATTTGGTTATTAGTTCTTTTTTTTTTAACCATTGAATTGTAAGAGTTTCTTAACATATTTTGGAGATTAACTCCTTGCCAGATAAATGGTTTGCAAATATTTTTTCCCATTCCATAGGTTTCCTGTTTACTCTGTTAGTTATTTCTTTTGTTGTGGGGAACATTTTTGGTTTGATGTAGTCCCACTTAGTTATTTCTGTTTTTGTTGTTTGTGCTTTTGATGTCATATCCATGAAATCATTGCCCGGATCAATTATGATGGAGCTTCTCTCCTATGTGTTCTTCTAGAAGTTTTATAGTCTCAGGTATTATGGTTTGTTTGTTTTTTGTGGTTGTTGTCTTTTTAGATAATCATTTTTATATTTTAAAATTTTTACATGTTACTGTGTTATAATAAAAAATATTTGTATTATATTTTTACAATGACATAGTTTTGAGAATAATATTTAAAATCTCGTGATTTTACAGCATTAAGCATATGTTTTTTTTTCCCGTAGCTTTATTCAGATATACTTGACAAATAAATATTACATATATTTAAGGTATACAATGTAATGTTTTGATATACCTCTGCATTGTGAAATGATTGCTATAATCAAGTTGATTAATACAGATTACCTCATACAGTTATATTTTTTGTGTGTATAGTGAGAACACCTAAGGTCTATTCACTTAGCAAATTTCCAGTATACAATACAGTATTAACTGTACATTAGATCTCCAGAATTTATTCATCTAGAAAAATTGAAATTTTTTTCCCCTTTGACCAACATCTCCCTATTTCCCTCATTGCTCCCACCCCCTGGCAACCACAATTATCTGCTTTTATAAGTTCAGTTTTTTTAGATTCTACATGTAAGTGAGATCATGCAGTAGTTGTCTTTCTGTGTCTGGTTTATTTCACTTGGCGTAATGTCCTCCAGGTTCATCTCAGGTCTTATGTTTGTTTAAGTCTTTAATTCAATAAGCTTGCTGTGACAGCTTAAATGTTTATGTTCCCTCAAACTCATGTGTTGAATCCTTACCCCCAAGGTGATGGTATTAGGAAGTGGGGCCTTTGGAAGGTGATTAGATTGTGAGGACCGAGCCCGGGTGAATGGGATTAGTGCCCTTATACAAGAGGCCAGAGAGAGACTCAGCTCTCCTTGCACCGTGTGACATTAGCATCTCTGGCAGCTGTCTGAGCAAGCGGGTCCTCATCAGACACTGGATCTGCCAACCCCTTGATCTTGGACTTCCCAGCCTCCGGCACTGTGAGAAATAGATTTCTGTTGTTTACAAGCCATTCGGTCTGTGGGTTTCTGTTATAGCAGACCGAACGGACTAAGACACTGACTTCTGGGTATTTATCGAAAGGACTAAAATCAAGATCTTGAAGAGACATCGGCACTCTTAGGTTCATTACGGCTCTATTCACAATAGCCAAGATATGGAAACCACCTAAATGTCCATGGACAGATGAATGGAGAAATAAAATGCGGTATATACATGCAATGTGATACTATTCAGCATCAAAAAGAAGGAAATCCTTCTGACTGCCAAGGGCCAGCAGAGGTAGGGGTAAGGGAGGTAACTTGGGGGTTACTAACCAACCAGCGTAAGTTTTAGTAAAGCAAGATGAGTAAGATCTTAACCTTGTCCCTGTAGCCAATAATAATGTATTATACACTTAAACATTTGTTATGAGGGTAAATCTTATGTTCGGTGTTCTTACCATGATAAAATAAAATTTAATAAACAATAATTTGGCAGAGAAAAAAAATAAAAAGAAAAGAAAGACAATAATAAGAGATCCTAAGAGGTAGAGGTTGGAAGTGACAGGCCACATGTGTGCTCCAATCATTGAGTACAGATAAATTAAAAAACTCGAGGAGAAAATTAAAAAACTTGAGGTGAAAGGAAATTAACATGGAAGAACAGAGATGCATAAATTATCTTAGTTTACTTTCACAGCTACTGTGAGGTGGTAACATATTACTGCCCACCAGGCATGGTGGCTCACGCCTGTAATCCTAGCACTGTGGGAGGCCGAGGTGGGAGGATCGCTTGAGGTCAGGAGTTCAAGACTGGCCTGAGCAAGAGCGAGACCCCATCTCTATTAAAAATAGAAAGAAATTAGCCAGGCAACTAAAAATAGAAAAAATTAGCCGGGCATGGTGGTGCATGCCTATAGTTCCAGCTACCTGGGAGGCTGAGGCAAAGGATTGATTGAACCCAGGAGTTTGAGGTTGCTGTGAGCTGGGCTGATGCCATGGCACTCTTGCCTGGGCAACAGAGTGAGACTCTGTCTCAAAAAAAAATGAAGAGCATATTACTACCAACTGCAGTTTGCAAATTAAGAGACTAACACACAGGTAAATGACTGATTTTCCAAAGGTCACATGGCTAATAATTGCTACAGTCATTTTTGAACCTCAATCTTTTGACCTCTAAACTAGTTCTCTTTCTACACTGCAGTGATAACACCTGCTTTGTCATTAGTTAGCCTGTGACCTTGGGCAACTCAATTAATTTCTTTGAGTCTCAGTTTCTAGGTCTACTAAGTCAAGTTAAAATATTTTATAGGGTTTATTTAATACTACATGAGTATCTCATTTCTTTGTTTTTTATAGTTTATAAAAGGACACTGATGTATGATTTCATACAATTTAATTTTTGCAAAAGTACTGTAAGAATCAAATGAGAATATATGCATTGCTAAGAAGGTAGATTCTATGTTATATGCTCTTATAAAATAAGAATAATAATAA